CGGTCCCATCCAAATGCAGTATAGTACCGTTTTAAATGCCTCAGTACCGCGGTACCATACTAGTACCGGTATATCGTGCAACACTAATATATATATGTCACTTAGTACTCAACAACCCTAGTACTCAGTAACTTATCCCTCTACAAGAGAAATTTTTAATTTTTAGTAATGCATAAAGTACTTTTTTTTTTGGTGAAACTGAGGTTTAAGAGAGGATGAAATTTCTCTCTTTCTGAGCAAATAATATAAACAAAAACAAAGTTTGCATGTCAAATCAAATCAAATTTTATTTGTATAACGCCAAATCACAACAAAAGTCATCTCAGGACACTTTACAAAGTAAGGTCTAGACCTTACTGTTATCAATATTATTACATAGGGAAAACCCAACAAATCCCCCTTGAGCAAGCACTTGGCGACAGTGGGGAGGAAAAACTCCCTTTAAAGGAAGAAACCTCCGACAGACCCCGGCTCTTGGTGGGCGGCCTTCTGCCTTGACCGGTTGGGGTGAGTGGATAGAGGAGAGACAAAAGAAGAAAAGCAACAAGACACAACAATCAAATACTGATCAGGTTGATGTGGCTGGTGACTGCTCATCAGAGACATAGAGCTCCAGGGCCAGGGCAACCTGCAGAAAGGTACAGGGAGAGAGAGAGGACACACTACGGGAGAGAGGAGACACAAAGTTAGTAATGTGTAATGGTGGCATATAGAAGCATAGGGAGAGAGAGGAGAGGAGAGGAGAGCAGGAGGGGAGGGGAAAGAAACTCAGAGCATCATGGGGCCCCCCAGCAGCCTAGGCCTATAGCAGCATAACTAAGGGAAGGCTCAGGGTCACCTGATCCAGCCCTAACTATAAGCTTTATCAAAAAGGAACGTCTTAAGTCTAATCTTAAAGGTAGAGAGGGTGTCCGCCTCCTGAACTGAGACTGGGAGTTGGTTCCATAGGAGAGGAGCTTGATAGCTAAAGGCTCTGCCTCCCATTCTGCTTCTGTGGACTCTAGGAACCACAAGTAAACCTGCACTCTGAGAGCGAAGTGCTCTGTTAGGATGATAAGGCTCTACGAGGTCTTTAAGATACGATGGAGCCTTGTCATTAAGGGGTTTGTATGTTAGGAGAAGGATTTTGAATTCTATTCTGAATTTGCAATACAGAGCTTACCAAGATTTTAAATGCTTATGCTTTATGATTTTAACAATTACTTATGGAAGAAGACAAAGTGCGTCACTTTGGTCACTGGTTTAAATGGTCTTACTTCAAATTTGCAGCAGTGGGAAACCCACTTGTAACCCTAATGATGTTTGTGTCTGTGCTGCAGGACTTCACCCCAGTCCTATGTCATGGCCAATGAAGTCACCAAGTCGGGCACTTCCAACGGTCACCTTGTGAAGGCACAGCTACAAATCATAGGTAAATCTTTAGATGTTATAAAAATATACAGAGCCAACAAATAACCCAAACTGTTTTATCAGTTTAATTGCAGTCATGTTTGCCTGTTCTGCCTTTCTTTCAACAGTATGTGCTACTGTATATACAGCATCTTCCTGGGTGTTAAATGAATGTTTTCCTCTTTCTTTCTGCCCCGCTCTGATTGACTCCCCACTGCATGTTCCCTTCTCCCTCTCTCTCTGTTTCAGTGCTATCAGCAAAACTGAAAGAGAACAGGAAAAACTGGTTTGGTCCCAGTCCTTATGTGGAAGTGACAGTCGACGGCCAGTCCAAAAAAACAGAGAAATGCAGCAACACCCACAGCCCCAAATGGAAGCAGCCGCTCACTGTGTGAGTCAAAGTTACCTGGACATTGGGAAGGTCTGACTCATAGCTTCTAGAAGGGTTGTTTAATGTTACTGCTGCCAAATGAGGTTTGACAGGTTAACTTACTTTTCTCACCAGCACAGTGAATGTTTAATGGGTGTGTTCCATAAAGATACGAGAGATTATAATTGTTTGTGCGTTATTAGCTGAAGTGCATTATGTTTGATTATATTTGTGTCTTAGATGAAGGTCAAATCACATTTTATGTCCAATTAATTTAGAAAACTCCAAAGGCTTCACATACTTTTTCTTGCCGCTGTAGTATTGGAAGTGAAAATGTGCTTTCGTGCTCCAGGCATGCCAGGATTTGCCACATAGAACAATACAGTGAATACTAATATTTGAATTTTCAGAGAAATGTTAAGAGGCAATGTTGTCAGCTTTATAGACACCTTGCCTTAATTATTAGTCATTCTAATGTGTGAAATGCCACCGATATGGTATTCCAGGAAGTTCCAAACTACTCGTACCTGCTATTACAAAAGCTTGTTTTCTGAGGTTTGAAGCAAGATTTGATTGTATTTGTATTCACGTTGAAGTTGTTTTAAGTCTTGGCGCTTTACAAGGCTGGTATAGCACATGGAGAATTACTGTACAGCAGGAACAGAGATGTACTTTATTATTTTAGTTGGAATTTTTGTAATACGCATTGAACTCTTCTCTACTGCTGTAACTGCTACATTGGTGACCAGCTGTCAGTGGTTCTGCACAAGTGATACTGAAGGGTCTTGAGGAAAAGTGGTGCAAGTTATTTGGAGTTTGAGGAAGAGGCAAATCATACAAAAAACTGCTGGTTGTAGTATTTGGCATTGCACTTCCTCATAACACTGTCCAGAACTAGAGAGTTGTTTGTCCAAAACATACAAAGGCTAAATAGGCTTCCTTAAAATTGTGTGAAATTATATGGTGTTTATGGAAATGTCTTGCTGTGAATGAGTTAACGTGTTTTCTCTGTGTATAAGTCAATTAAATGGCTTTCTTTATGTGGTTGTCACTTATAAGTAGAATGTCACGCAGTTGTGAGAGCGTGCATCCAGTTCATTTACAGGATTGCTGTTTTTACACATATACTGAACATTGAGTGCACTGGCACCATTTGACTTCCTGTAGTCCCACATTCACATATCAGATGTCTTTGTAATTGTAGCCTGTGCAGGAGCTTCTGCTGTGCACACTGTCTTTCTTAATATAGAGTTCTCCGAAAGCTTCTCCTTGGCCAGTGGAGAAAGAGTTATTATATAACAAGTGTTTACTATGGGATGTAATCAGAGCTGTGCTCGTGTGTCCTTTCCTGGGGATGCCCACAGTGCTGGGTAAGTAACTGTTGTAGTGATGGGTTTAGATACTTGACAGAGTCCTTCGCTGCTCACATAGACACAGTGGCTTTCAGATCTTTTTTTATATTTTAATTACAAACTGCTAGAAAAGACATGAGTTATCAGAATTTTCATTATGACAGTGATGTCCCTTAGGATGTTCTGCATGTGGAATTACTTTTTTTTTTCTTTTCATTAATCCCAATTCTTCCTCTCACAATATCATTTCGACTAAATGCTTGTAAAATTTGAAGCACATATCAGATGGGAGCTATAAAAGTTTCTTCAGGCAATAATAGATTGTCTGGAAAGATTAAACCATGCTTGCTGAAAGGCTGCTGAGTTTAAAATCATCATTAACACAAGTCTTTGAGGGTTTTTACAAATCATATGCTCAGTGGACTAAAGCAAGGCATCACTCTTTCTTTAATCCAAACGTACAATTACTTTGCACATATCAACTGAATTGCTTTTTTCAACAGGATTGTGACTCCATTCAGCAAACTGCTGTTTCGTGTGTGGAGCCACCAGACTCTGAAGTCAGATGTGTTGCTAGGCATGGCCACGCTGGACGTCAGTGACACACTAAAGTCTAACGACATGAAAAGTGAGTTTGTTTGACTGACACTGTCCAATGCGATCCTCATTTTGTACATAAAGTCTGTAGAGAGTGTGACATTTTATTTGATGGCATACTGGTTGCTCATCACTACATGTTATGGTAAGTTAAACAGAGAAGGCTGTTTATCTTTGCTTTGGTTCTCATAAAGACTCCATTCAGTCCCCTGCTTGTTTTACATGGACACTGTCCAGCAGCTAATGACTGAGAACTCTTGGTACAAAAAAACATGTCAAGGGCAGACGTCTTTACTGCTCCTCTTGTCTGTTCTACGATTTTTCACATCTTCTACATTTTCAAGTTTTTGAACAAATTCTACAACTATTAAAATGCCTCCAAGAGGGAAAAGAGCTAATAAATCAGAAGCGAACGAGGATGTTGAAGCAGAAGAGGATTATATTTCAGTGGCGCAAGTAACAGAGATGTTGAGTCAGCAGAAGCAGATGTACACCGCACTGTTGAGCCAACAACAAGACAACTTCAAAGGTTTTGTACAACTACTTATGGAGACAAATAACAAGAGACTCGACGACATGACCAGAGAAATACAGGGGATAAAAACGAGTTTGCAGTTTACCCAGCGAGATGTGGATGTGATTAAAGCAGCCATGGGTGAACAGAAAATACAAACCAAGGAAACAAGGGATGATGTCTACAAAACTTGTGAG